TTTTCTAATTATTTTTATTCCATTTCTAAAAAAATGGATTTTTGTTCTGGAAATAGAATTTTGTGTTGTTTATCAAAAGGGTTTTGTTTTAGGAAATAAAAATTTTGTTGTTATCAAACGGGTTTCGTTCTAGAAATAGAAATTTTTGGTCATTATCAAACGGATTTCTTTTCTCGTAAACTCATCTCGAACCGAAATAGAAAAATCTATTTCTGTTTTGAACTCATTCTGAGAATGAATGGTTATCATTCGCTACCTTAGGGTGCGCATGGAATGCATTCCGAATAAAAATTGTTCGGAATGCATTCCGAAGTAATGCGTTTGTTAAAAATTTTCGAATGCATTCTGGAGCGATTTTTGCATTCGGAATAAAAAGCGTTTATTAAAAATACTTGATTCCGTAACGCATTCTTGATTCGGAACGAGTTTTTGGCAAGAAAAAAGAGAAGCTACTTTTGTAGCTTTTTGATTCGAATGCGTTCTCCCTATTTTCTCACAAATTTTTTTCGAAAATGCATAAAAATTGAAAATTCTAGAAAAATTCATAAAAATTTCCAGAAAATAAAAAAGTCAGATTTCGGGAAAATATGAAATTTGGTGAATTTTTTTAAAAAAATTAAAAAAAATCATAAATTTCAAAGCTTCACAGAATAGCTTAAAACACACGTGGCCACCCACTTTGAGTGAAATTTAAATTTTTTGAGGTGCCAAAAAAATCAAAATTTCAAAACTTCACAAAATGGCTTAAAATACCATGTGGCCACCTACTTTGAGTGAAATTTAAATTTTTTTAGGTGCCAAAAAAAAAAGAAAAATAATAAAAAAATAAAAACTTTCGAAACTTCACAAAATGGCTTAAAATACCGGCCACCCACTTTGAGTGAAATTTAAAATTTTTGAGGTGCCCAAAAAAATAAAAAAATAAAAAATTCAAAACTTCAATGAATGGCTTAGAATATCGTCAGAAGCCACCACTTTGAGTAAAATTTAAATTTTTGAGGTGCCCAAAAAAAAAAAATTCAAAACTTCACAAAATGGCTTAGAATACCTGTCACCCACTTTGAGTGAAATTTAAATTTTTTAGGTGCCCAAAAAATTAAAAAATAAAAAATTTCAAAACTTTACAGAATGGCTTATAATACATGTGGCCACCCACTTTAAGTAAAATTTAAATTTTTTAGGTGCAAAAAAATCAACAAATCAAAATAGATTGTTTCTGAAATCAATTTCTGGAGCGAGAATTAGTCATGTTTTACCAAACAGATTTCTCCTCCGTAAATTAATTCTGGTAAGAATTCCGAAATCAATTTCCGCAAGAATTTGATTTTGAGTATGGTATATCATTCGCACCCTAGGGTGCTGATTAACGCATTCCGAATAAAAATTCTGTTCGGAATGCATTCCAAAAGAATGACGTTTGTTAAAAAATTTCCGAATCGTTACGGAGCGATTTTGATTCGGAATAAAAATGCGTTTGTTAAAAATACTTGATTCCAGAATTCCGAATGCATTTTGATTCCGGAATGAGTTTTAGCAAGAAAAGAAGCTACTTTTTATAGCTTCTGATTCGAATGCATTCTCCCTATTTTCTCACAAATTTTTTTAGAAAATGCATAAAAATTGAAAAATTCTAGAAAAATTCATAAAAATTTCTAGAAAATAAAAAAGTCAGATTTGGGAAAATATGAAATTTAGTGAATATTTTTTAAAAAATAAAAAAATCAAAAATTTCAAAACTTCACAAAATAGCATAAAACACATGTGGCCACCCACTTTGAGTGAAATTTAAATTTTTGAGGTGCCCAAAAAAATAAAAAATTTTCAAAATTTCAAAATGGCTTAAAATATGTGGCCACCTACTTTGAGTGAAATTTAAATTTTTGAGTGCGCCAAAAAAATAAAAATAATAAAAAATAAAAATTTTCAAAAACTTCACAAAATGTCTTAAAATACCCGCGCTACCCACTTTGAGTGAAATTTAAATTTTTTGAGATGCCCAAAAAAATAAACAAAATAAAAAATTTCAAAACTTCACGAGAATGGCTTAGAATATCCGTACCACCCACTTTGAGTAAAATTTAAATTTTTGAGGTGCCCAAAAATTAAAAAAATAAAAAATTCAAAACTTCACAAAATGGCTTAGAATACCTGTGGCCACCCACTTTGAGTGAAATTTAAATTTTTTAGGTGTCCAAAAAATTAAAAAAATCAAAAATTTCAAAACTTTGCGAATGACTTATAATACATGTGGCCACCCATTTTGAGTAAAATTTAAATTTTTTAGGTGTAAAAAATCAACAAATCAAAATAGATTTATGTTCAGAAATCAATTCGGAGCGTAATTAATCATGTTTTACCAAACAGATTTCTCCTCCGTAAATTAATTTGAAGAATTCCGTAAATCAATTTCAAGCAAGAATTTGATTTCGGAGCAGAATGTTACCATTCGCACCCTTAGTTACTTGAAGTAGAAACAGATGCTATGTGAGTTTTTTTTTAATAGGGACGTACAAATGCTCATCGCTGATTGCAGGGATGTTGGGTCAGTGTAGAATCACCCAAATCTTCAGAGGAAGCGAACCAGTATGCAGATCAAATGGCAATTATGGGTGAAAACGAAAGGACGACAGCACAAAAGAGACAAAGCAGAAGTAGCTTTGCTCCATCAGATCACAGGAAGGAGAGTCAACATGCATTAATTAACCTAATGATGCCTATTGGATGCAATACAGTTTTCGAGTCTTACAACCGCAGCCGGGTGAGGATAAGATCGGGTAAACGATCGAAACCTGTCACGCATAGTCCAGATAGAAAATTCAAAGAAGTTGAGAAGTAGGGTTTCATCGTGCACGGTCCCTTTCGTCGGATTGATACTGATTACCAACCCCACCAATATTCGATAAGGACCCTGACAGAGAAATGTGGAAACCTCCACTCACATCGAAAGGCACCACGACGACAGGTCGTCCTCTTCGGGGACGCAATAAGAACAAAATCCTACCAGAAAATATTACATATAAAAGAGCAAAATGATACTATAAGTGTCATAACTTGTGTACGAAAATCATTTTAGTGTCATAACTTTTTTGGATCACTTTGGTGCCAAGTTGGAGGAAAAACGATCACTTAAGTGTCATAAGTTTTTTTGGATCACTTCGCTTAAAATTTTTGAAAACGATCATTTAAGTGCTAAAATTTTTAAAAACGATCATTTAAGTGCTAAAATTGTTGAAAAACGATAACTTAAGTGCCAATCTCCGCGAGCCACGTCGCTTCAGAAATTAATAAAAAATGCCACGTCGGATTTCCGGCGAAAAAATTGTGTACGGCACCGGAGTTGGCACTTAAGTGATCGTTTTTCAAAAATTTTAGCACTAAAGTGATCCAAAAAAAACTTATGGCACCAAAGTGAGCGCCCTACACAAATTATGACACTTGTAGTGTTCTTTTGCCCATATAAAAGTTATGTCACGTAAGTTATGTACAAGTCCACTCAATGTGCGATATGTAGCAAATCATAAATAATCTTGTTAGCGTGAATTCATGGTTAATATTATGGACTTGGTTATTTTTTGGGTTAATACTAAGAAAAATCTCAACAGGTACACTTATAATAAATTTACCCCAAATTAATTTTTTGACTATCAAGAACCCTAAACTGGTACACTTGTGACAATTTTACCCCAAACTAATTTTTTTACCACAAAAAATCCTAAACTGGTACATTTGTGACCAATTTACCCTCCGTTAGTTTCCATTAAATTGAATTAATGCAAAAAAAAAAAATCACAAACTAGTACACCTATGATAAATGGAGGGTAAAACCCAAAATTGGTATATCCGTTAACTACCGCGTGTCATTTAACAAAATAATTTAACAGTAAAATTTAACGGAAACTAACGCAGGGTAAAATTGTTATAAGACTATCAGTTTGAGGTTTTTGATGGTCAAAAAATTAGTTTTTGGTAAAATTGTCACAGGCGTACAAATTTTGGGTTTTTCGTGGTATTAACCCTTATTTCTTTGATTCAAATCGAGAATTTCTAGGGTTATACATTTTATATATATATATATGGAGTAGTTCATATTGTCTTGGTAACAAGTTTATTAGGATATTCTCTTCTTTGACATGAATGGTTATATCGCTTAATTGGGTGAACACATTCCAGAAAATGAATGGCATTATTGGTATTATATAGTATTGCGACATCTTCTATGGCCACGATTCTATATCATTAAAGCATTTTAATGTATTGGGTTATTATTCCGTTTATCGATGATCGACAAATTGATTTTCACAAAGAAATATTATGATCTTGCCGTGTATTTGTTATGATCCCGACATTCTGTAGAAAAAAATAATCACGGTATTTGTGGCCAAATTGTAACACTTCGTTCAACTATTGATGGATGATAGAGTAAAAACTTGAATAAAATGAAGATTTCATTGAATTGTATGAAGTTAAAAGATAAACATTGTCGCACAAACCATTTTTTCTTCCAAAAAGTTTAAGTTATTTAGATGGATGCCAACATCATAAATATACCCTGTTATTTAACACCCTCTCTTGCGTGTGAATTGGGACTTACATTTGAAATACGAGATGTCGAGATATGCACATAATCACATCAGACGAACAATTGACAACCAAAAAACATACAAAATATGGGAGGGGGTCCAGGCATTCAACTTCATGACTTGTGCCCCGATATCATGTTAAACAAGTAGTTTTTTTTTTTTGCCAAAGAGTTTAAGATGTTAGAATACGAACGAACAATGTATACATATTAGAGTTATTGCGAATCTCGGGCCAACTTGTATCTTACGGATTCGTAACCTCATGTTGAGAGACTCTTGTCTGTAGGACTGCGGTGACGGATGGTAGAGAAGTAGATTGAGTACTTATTACACAAATCGAAGATAACTTTCAGCGAGGAAGATGCTTTGGTTACCACTTATTTTTTTTACCCTTTTGAAAAAGAAAACAACAGTGAAGTAGGTGGCGTTGCATCAGTTTTAAGCGAGAAGAGCACACACTGTGCTACCCAAAACATCAAAGGTCACTCAAAAAAGTTTGCTGCTTTCTGCAACTGGAAGCTTCTCACTTCTCCAAGCTATGGAGGGCAACAAAGGCACAGTGTGTGTGACCGGTGGTACTGGCTTCATAGCTTCATGGCTCATCATGAGGCTCCTTGAACATGGTTACTCTGTCCGGACCACTGTCAGACCCGACCCGGGTAAGCGCCTGTTTTTTCCTGCTTGAACATGGAAATTCATTCTTGCCATGAGTTCTGATCAAGTGTATAGTCTGAGATTGATGTTTTGAACTGTCTATGTTGTCGACAGTCCAATATGCTCTAATCTTTTGGTGCCTGCACATTTATTGGCAATACTAAGCTTAGCTTTCTTGATCGAAGATTTGTCATATAGATTAAGTGTATGGGACTGCTTATGTGTTTCGACCAGTCTGTGTAAGTGAAAAACAACCCCTTTTTGCTGCCTTTTCAAGCATGAGAAAGCGTAAGATGAACTAAAGATGGGTTAGAATTGATGGCAATTGAATCGGTCAATGATGATCTGGTTTCTCTTATATGATTGAGATGCACGTTTACCATATGCCGAGGTGGCCAAAATGAAGTCTCTTGCTCTTGTTCTACATATAAACTCACTCACTCCCTCTCGAGTCAGCTTTTCTTGCAGTACATGTTGCTAAGTTTGAGGGTGTAATTCAGAGTAATTCCTGAATGAGTCATGTTAGTTAATTTATTCTGGACTGCTTTCTCCGATTGACCTCACACATCAATTTCCCATTGAATGTTTGAGCTTTTGTTCGGAACGCGATTGACCGATTTGTTTAGATCAGATGGCAGAAGAGATATCAGCTTCTTGAAAAATCTACCAGGCGCATCAGAAAGGCTCCAAATCATCACCGCCGACCTTGGTGACCCCGAGAGTTTCGGCCCGGCCATCGAAGGCTGTGTCGGAGTCTTCCACGTCGCCACCCCAGTGGACTTCGAGGACAGAGAGCCAGAGCCAGTCGTCACCAAAAGATCCATCGATGGAGCGCTAGGCATCCTGAGGGCCTGCCTGAACTCCAAGACCGTGAAGCGGGTCGTGTACACTTCGAGCGCGTCCGCAGTTCAACTCAACAACTCCGGGGCCGATATACTGGATGAGGACTCCTGGAGCGATGCCGAGTCCCTCCGAAAAACGACGATGTTCGGAGCTTCGTACGCGATCTCGAAGACGTTGACCGAGAAGGCGGTTCTTGAGTTCGGAGAGCAGCACGGACTGGAAGTGGTGACGGTGGTTCCCTCGATTGTCCACGGGCCCTTCATTTGCCCCAAGTTCGCCGGATCCGTCCGAATTTCACTGGCTTTGGTATTAGGTAATGTGATGCACGAAAAAAATATCACATGATCAATATAGATCGTGTAAGTCAAGTCTATTTGGACCGTTGATTACGTGAGATTCAAAGAGGAACTCATATAAGCTATGGTTTAGATAATATTGATCTACATGATCGGGAAAATTTTCCAAAATGTCATAAACCTACCAAATTTAGTCTTAAATCATTTAATTTTGTCAATTAAGTCATAAACCTTTTCACGTTTTGTTAATTAAGTTCATCCGGTCGGCCGGCTACCTTGCTGGCTAAAGGTGTAAAAAAAAGAAAAGAAAAGAAAAGAAAATGAAGAGAAAAATAAAAAATTGAAAAAATATTAAAATATTATTAATAATTTTTTATTAGTTCTTTTTTTTTTCTTTTCTTTTTTTCTACTCCTCTGGCCGGCAACCTCGCTGGCCGACCATCGCCGGATATGGGCGAGGGCCTCACCGGTCACGGAGCAAGGATCGCGACGCCTTCACTCCCGGTTGGCCTAGGGGTTCACAGCCTGGCAACAGGCAAGGGCCGTGATCCCTCGCTTGTGGCTAGTGAGGACTCTTCGCCCTCGACACCATTGAAGACGAACTCATTGTTGAACTCATCATCTTTGACTCTTCATCTTCGAGATACACCTTCCGTACTATAGTCAAATTCAAGACCAATTTGATTGTTTTGGTCACCAAAATGATACATACATTCCATAATTTGACAACGTTTCTCTGTTCAATGTCCAAGTATATGGACAAAGGAAGACAAGACTATAATCTGTCCATTCATATGCTTATCTTCATTTCGATGATGTAAACAATCTTAAATCTTAGATTGACTGGGGTTCGAAATTAACAGGGAACGAGAATGAGTACTGTCTTCTTCTCAAAGTATCTCTCGTCCATGTGGACGACGTGGCGAGAGCACACATCTTCCTCTTCGAGCACCCCGACGCCAAGGGGCGATACATATGTTCGTCGGCCATGATGACAATCGAAGAGATGTCCAAGTTTCTCTCCCAAAGATACCCGGAATTTCAGATACCCTCACCTGAGTAAGTCCTGTTGTATCCCAGTTCATGATCTGACAGATCTTTTATTTCTGTTCTTGGACTGAGAGCAAAGTTTTTCAATTCTCTGTAGGTCCTTGAAGGAAGTGAAAGGCACCAGATTCACCAGCCTTTCGTCGAGGAAGCTGTTGGACGCCGGATTCGAGTATAAGTATGGGATCGAGGACATGTTTGACGGAGCCATCCAATGCTGCAAAGAAAAGGGGTATCTCTAGATCAATTGAAGCTGTTCCATGCATATGACAGAATTCGGTACATCAGGCCGAACGTTGTAATGTTCAAAGTACTAAAACTAAGCAAAATGCAGAAAGAACAGATAAACATGTTGAGAAAATGCGTACCGTGTATCTAGCACGGCTAGTGAAAACTGATTTCTCCGAGGGCCATGTACGAGATATTAAACCGCATGAATAATCTTGGTACTGTATGTTTCTGTTCTTTTGTATTTGGTATTGCAGTATTGAGAACATAAGCACTTTATAGCATAGATCGCCATATATGCGCGTTTGGGTTTCTGAAGCTTAATGCGCCATCTGTATTGCCATGTACTCTCAGACTGGATTATAGAATGAGATGACGAACTGTAAGTGGGTCACTTATAATAATAAAAATTAATATTCGCAAGTAGTTTACCAAATCAATTTAGATTTTCAATTAGTAATATTCGCAAGTAGCTTCCATTTTCTGCTTCGGGACCTTCCTGGATACACCAGGAACGGAGACTCGCTGTGCTTCAACGCCGTGGCCTCCTGGTCGGACCCCAAGGGAGCGTCGGCGGCGCGCAGACTCGAAGTTGTTGGAGGAGGTGGTAGCGGCAGCGGAGGAGATGGATTTCTGGAGGGCTTTGGTAAGGGTCTCGGTGTCGCAAGAGTAGGCCTCAATGAAGTAGGTGTGTATGAAGCTCGGACGAGAAAAGATCCACGAGTTAACACTCGCCATGTGGTTAGGCGACGCCATTGATTGATATCCCCCTAATTGGGCTCTCTCTCTCTCTGTATCTATTCAAGTACCGGAAGAGTTTATCGAGGTGATCTGTGCTAAGGTTAAAAGGATAGTTTGTGTGGATAAGAGAGACTGAAATTGGGAGAGATGCAAGAGAAGAAATGGTATGCTGATGGTGAGACTGTGGGAGAGAGAGTCTGGAGTGGTCATCTGAAGCAGAGGTCACTGAATATGACTGTTACGGTGAAGAAGAAGAGGAAGAAGAAATGGAGAGATCAAAAGCAGAGTGAGAGGAGGCATAGGAGGACTACGATGTTGGTGGTCTTGTTGTTCATGGTCATAATTCAGTTGATGATGACTGTGTTAGTTGTCTTGTTGTCCATGGTCATAATTCAGTAGTTGATGAAGCAAACAAGGAAGCTGAAAAAGATCAAACCTAGCAACAGAATGTCTCCGACTGCTTCCGATGAGAGCGAGAAAAACAAAATCTTGATTTTGAAGCTTCTTCTTTTTTTTTCCCTTTCTTGCCGTCTTCTTGGCTAATTGGAAAATGTGAATCTTTTTGGGAGCAAAATCGAGATGAGAGGGCGTTCTCTTCATTTCCACATAATTGATGAAGTACCACCAACGCTTGAACCATGATCAGATTTAATTAAGAGAAATCATAGAGGGCTCGAATTACCTCCACAAGAGAGAACAGAGAAATTCAAGAAGAAGGTGGAAGGTGGGACCCGTAAGGAAAGAAAAGGAAGAAACTAAATGGGACATCATATTTGATAAAAAGAGAAAAAATGTGGAACAATTAGGTGGAATAGTAACGGAGGATGTGGAAAGAGTGGGATAATGAGTGTATTAGCATAAGGAGGAATGGAAAAAACGCAACCTTTTGAAAAATCATCCCCAAATGATAACAATCTCCCGTCTTTTTAAAACCATGCTATATCAAGTAACTCCCCATCTTACTAGGGATGTTGCATAGAACACGCTTTCATTCTTCAAAACACTATTTTGTTCCTTAAAAGAACCATTTTCTGAGGAAAAAGTGTCAAAAAAGTCTTAAACCTTTTGTATTTGTGCCAATTTAGTCATAAACCTTTTCTTGGTGCAAATTCAGTCCTAAACCTTTTGTTTTTGTGCCAATTCAGTTCTTCCGACTATTTTTGGCCGGATTTTGCTTACGTGGACGCCGGCCGGCTTACGTGGCATCGCCGGCGACCGGCGATAATGTGGACAACTTTTAATAATATTTTTTTGATATTTTAATTATTTTTTCTAATTTTTTTTTCTTTCTTCCTCCCTTCCTCCCTTTGCTGGTGACTGGCCACAGGCCATGGCCGGGCGAGGGTCGCCGTCACCTAGCCATGCCAAGCGAGGCCCGGCATGGCCTAGGTGAGCCCCGGCTAGGTTGGGCAAGCCCCGGCGAGGGCTCCCCTAGCCAGATTTGGTGAGGCCGGCCCTCGCCTAGGCCGCGGTGGCCTCGCTAGATCTGGCCTGGGCGAGGCCGACCCTCGCCTGCAAGAGGGACTGCGAGAGGGCGAGCCCTCGCTAGGGCTCGACCCTCGTGCTGGCCTGCGAGAGGCTCACCCTCGCCGGATCTGGCAAGGGTCGAGCCTTGCCGGATTCGGCGAGGGGCAAGGGTCGAGCCTCGCTGGCCATGGGTGAGGCCCGCCTTCGCTAGATCCGACGAGGTCGTGCCTCGCCCAGCCCAGCGCAGGGCCACCTTCGCGGGCATCCGGCGAGGGTGGCCGGCGTGGCTCGCCAGAGGTCCCCTGGCCTCCAACCGGTCGCCAGGAAGAAGAAAGGAAAAAAAAGAAAAGAAAAAGTAATTAAAAAATCGAAAAAAATTAAAATATTATTAAAAGTTGTCCACGTCATCGCTGGCTGTGCCATGTAGGCCGGCCAGTGTCCATGTCAGCAAAATCTAGCCAAAATTAGCTGAAAGGATTGAATTGGCACAAGAACAAAAGGTTTAAGACTGAATTGGTATCGGAAAAAAGTTTATGACTGAATTGGCACTAATACAAAGGTTTAGGACTTTTTTGATGCTTTTCCCCCATTTTCCGTAGTCGGCACAACATTGTTTGTCGAAAGCTTTTTTCACTCAACATACATATCTTCCAACACAAAAGCAAAATCATAATCGAAAAGCATGACAATCAAGAAAAATCATTGACCACTTCTACAGCATTGGTGTCGGCCATTAAGCATAACTTTGCCTTTTCTTTCTCTCCTCTATACTAGAGATGTTGAGATCACTCCTTTTCTTGCTAGCAGGATACTCAGAACTTGATATGTCCTGCTTTCTTAAGCAAATTATGTTTCGTTGTTGTCATCACTGCCGTGATCGTTTCTTTTGCCCCTGAAGTTGTGGAGAAAACGGTCGTACTTATACGGTCGGTACATCAATATCATCACCAGTTCCTGAAGCGTCGGTATACTCAGTTCGAGCCATGAACATTAGCCTTAAGAGCAATTGATTTCTTCTTCTTGGTGTTTCCACTGGAACTGTCTTTTTTCGGCTTCGTCATCATCACCGATCCAGTTGATTCTTCTGTTGGCATTGCATCGAGATCCTTTCGGCTCATCAATTGCGTCTCCCTTAGATTGCCATGAATCTCGAAGACTCTTCAACAGCTTCTGATGCAATTCTACGTTTTCAAAAGAATTTGCCAAGCGATGTTAGTTCACAATATCAGTGAAACGGAGTATACATTTCGCCAATAGTCTGGTTCTCATCCATCTTGAACATCTCCATAACTGGAGAGATAATTTTGCTCTTCTTCATTTTGTTGGTTTTCTTTCATATGGGTTACCGCCGATTTATCCCAAATCTCCTTTGTTTTGCACGCTGATATACTATTTGAGATTGTCTCTTTTTTCTCAATCAACCCATTTATTATGTATACGATTCAACATGCCAACTATTAAGCAACTTATTAGAAACACAAGAGAGCCAATCATAAATGTCACGAAATCCCCTGCTCTTGGGGGATGACCTCGGCATCGATGGACATGCACTAGGGTGTAGGTGCGACTCGTTCAGATCACCATTGGTAGAGCACAACGGAGCATATGCATAGCTTTGTAGTTTGTGTTAGTTTTTTCTCGTCGATATCATCTTTGCCCTTGCTTGGTGCAACACTCTGTCCAGTTTCAATCACTTTTCATGCTGCAAAATCCGTTTATTTGATGAACGTCTCTATTTTGCATCTCCTATAAACAAAATTAGCCACGACAAAGTGGAGGCCCAGTAACAGACTGACCTTCATTTAAGCGAGTACAACATAGCTGCCAAATGATCTCTAACTCAAAAACTAATGCACTTTCTATAAAACACAAGGAAAAGTTAATCATTCTCTCAATTGGTGTTTAGACGTCGACGGTGGACCAAGTATAAACAGTCGATTTTCGAGTCCGGTTTTCCTTCTATTTTGCTCGGTATAAAAAGCCTAACTCGAGAGAGCACTCAGGGAACTGTCAAAAGGTGAGGTTATGTGAAGTTAATACTTCGTATCTTTATAGTAGAATTTGTGAGATTATTCGGGTATACATGGGGTCTGAAAAGCAGCCGAGAGTATGTGTTTCGAGCATGTAATCTCCTCCGGTTGATTATAGCCAAACATCGCGTCCATCTCTACCTGGGGTGTAGGATATATCCAAACGAACTACGTAAATCATGTGTGTCGGGTTCATTTTATGCATTTATTTGTTGCTCGATTATCGACCGTCTTGCGGATGTCCAAGCTCTAATAGTATCACATGTTCCATGGCCACCTCTCTCTAATAGTACAAAAGAGCATCATTTCCACCACAAACTAGTTGTGGAGAGAGAGAGAGAGAGAGACGTTGATGGAGACCGACAAAGGCACGGTGTGTGTAACAGGTGGAACTGGGTACTTGGCTTTATGGATGATCACGAGGCTCCTTGAGCAGGGCTACTCCGTCCGGGCCACCGTCCGTCCCGACCCGGGTAAGAACATACATCACGATACGATCAGGCTTAAATACATGGGTATGTTCAAGATCATTTGCTTAATTCTTTCTATGAATTGTGTGTGCATATAGATGGCAAGAGGGACATTAGCTTCCTCACAAACCTTGCGAAAGCGCCACAAAGCCTCCAAATCTTCCACGCCGATCTCGGCGACCCGGAGAGCTTCGTCCCCGCCATCCAGGGCTGCGTCGGCGTCTTCCACATGGCCGCCGCCATTGACTTCCATGGACGAGAGCCGGAGGACGTCGTCGCGGAGAGGGCCGTGCGCGGGGCGATCGGCATCCTCAAGGCGTGCTCGAGCTCGGGGACGGTGAGGCGGGTGGTGTACACGTCGAGCTCCGCCGCCGTGCACGGGAACACCACCGGGGCGGAGACCATGGACGAGGGCTTCTGGACCGATGTCGAGATGATCAGGGGGTTGAAGACGCCCGAAGGGCCGTACATGGTCTCCAAGACGCTGGCCGAGAAGGCGGTTCTCGATTTCGGGGCGAGGATGGGCTTGGACGTGGTGGTGGTGGTTCCGTCCTTCATGATTGGGCCATTCCTTTGCCCCAAGCTTCCGGCTTCGATTGGCATAGCACTGGCTATGGTCCTGGGTATGTTCCAAAACCCCCTAGTTAGTGTGAGATTTATGAGGAAAAAGAAGAATCCTAGTGTCCTTTGAGTTTGGTTGCACAGGAATAACGTCCGGGGCGTGAAAACGGATGGATGAAATGGATCTGATGAGCGAATCGCACCACACTTGCACACTCTCTTCGGTTCACTCCTAGCTCATTTCTTGGTGTGCGTGACGAGGAATTGTCGCAACGATGGGAATTAGTCGGGTGGTGAAAGAGCCTCGGCCTGGTGTCGAGCACGACCTGATTTCGATTATTCATCGAGTTAAGCTTGCGGAATTAGGGATTAGAATTTTGATTTACCTTAATAGTGCAGGAGACACAAACCCATATAAGAATGTGTGCTTATCCAAGACATCGATGGTGCATCCGGATGACGTGGTGAGGGCGCACATCTACCTCTTCGAACACCCTCAAGCCAAAGGCAGGTTCATTTGTTCTTCCGACGTGATCACCGTCGAAGAGACGGCGGAGCTTCTCTCTCTAAAGTTGCCGGAGCTTCCATTGCCTTCGTCAAGGTAACGTTTTTTTCGATTTTCATATTCTCTTCAAGAATTCTTAAATTTATGTTTTCTTTATGTCGAAGTCGTCAACCATGAAAAACACAAAACAAAAATAAAATAAAGCATCATTTTCCAAGGGGATGGTATGATCCGATTACGCGCGAAGTCAAAATTTGTATGCAGATCTACGAATTAATAATGCGTGTGTATATATATTATGAAAATTTCAGGTATTTATGATTTACTGCTGCTTATTTTTCAGTGCTCTTAAGGAAATTAAAGGTTATCCGATGCCATGCCTTTCGTCGAAGAAGCTCTTGGACATCGGTTTCGAGTTCAAGCATGGCCTCGAGGACATGTTCGATGGAGCAATTCGGAGCTGCAAAGAAAATGGTTACCTTTGAAGGGTGCCCAACTTGCTCGAATCATAGCTTTTCTAAGCCAAAAGTACTTGTGTAAAATTTGAGAGAAAGCGTCGGGTATTGCGAGTTCTCTTAACTAGAGTATGATAGTACTTTTGACAAATGCGAGAAATCTTGTTAAATAACGGTGCTTTTGATCTTTTCAAGCCTTCTCTTCCCTTTGGCTATTCTTCTATGTCCCATGCTAGTTTTATCATAAGAAGTATACAGATTCTTGGGTTGAAGTTTGAAGAGGCTTGCTTATACATCCATCGCATCTTTCGGTTGTCGATGAGATGTCCTGATGCGGCCATTGTAGGGCTAAACACGAGTGCGATATCTGTGTCGAGAGAGACTAAAAGGGAGTTTGTCTTCTAGATCCGATAGTCCAAACGGAGACCTTCCTGCTGCTGCCGGGTGGGAAATTTAGTGCTGCCGCCCGGATGGGTGGGTATGAATGTAGCACAAAAACTACACAAAATGAGAAGACCCTAGGCTAGGCTACATAACCGAAGCACAGATCACCATCGCGCCTGTGCCTCCGCCGATGCAACAGCGGAAAATGCCTTTCGCACTTCGTTCGTGCGGATCGATCTCTCTACCTCCGGCTCTCGGTGGTCGGTCCGCTCTCTTGCTCTCTTGGACCCCATGTGCCAGTGGCCCTATCGAGCGTTGACGCTAAGTCCAATTGAGAAACCTTCTTATGCGCCATTCATGGGCGCAGCAAAAGTCCAGATGAAAAGCTCCAAAAGGGTGAAAAGTAGGGTTTCACTATGCATGGCCCCTTGTGTGCTGGATTGATACTGAGCACCGACACCACTGACATTTGACCATGACCGTGACAGAGAAATTTTGGAACCTCCCACTCACATTGAAAGCCATGATGGTCGACCCTCTTTTGGCAGGGCAATATCTCTAGAATCGCAGAAATCTCTTCCTCAAATAATTTTGCTGGCGCGAGCTCATGATTACCGCGCGACTCTCCCTGTGTGAACCGAGCGCACCTGATCCCTCTGGCGAGATGGCGCTAGTACTTAGCTCGAGTTCTTCTGAATTCTATCGATCGCGCCTGGTTTGATTGGATTAGTTATGAAAATTAATTTTAATTTTAAGGAGTCACTGTTATCATTTTAGAGGTAAGTTAGTGGTCGTTTTACTTCCAACGAACCATAGGTTCAAGCTCAGGGACTGGATTACGCCATATATTTGTGTAATCGGGACTTTTCTCTTTATCTGATAACATTTCACGCGATCCTTCCTATTTTAAACATTCCTAAGCACGCATATCTAAGAGACCGAGCATCACCACCACATAGAGAAAAGTGTTAAAAAAGTCATAAAAAAAGTCCTAAACCTTTTTTTAGTGCCAATTCAGTCCTAAACCTTTTGCATTTGTACCAATTCAGTCTTAAATCTTTTTTTGGTGTCAATTTAGTCCTAAACCTTTTTCATTTGTGCCAATTTAATCCTAAATATTTTGTATTTGTGCCAATTTAGTTCTAAACCTTTTGCATTGGTGCCAATTCAGTCCTTCAACACGTGAATAGCTATTAGTCGGAAGGACTGAATTGGCACCAATGCAAAAGGTTTAGAACTAAATTGGCACCAAAAAAAGGTTTAGGACTAAATTGACACCAATGCAAAAGGTTTAGAACTAAATTGGCACAAATGTAAAAGATTTATGACTTTTTTTACACTTTTCTCCCGACACATACAGTAGGCTTTAAATATCGGCAATCGCGAGAATAATTATGACATAACAACAAATAAATCACGATAATAATAAGGGGGTAAAAATTGCGATAAATAAAATCCGATACGGATCGAGTAAAGAATATTACATGGTTTTCGTTAGGAAACCTCGGAACAGGACCCCTATGACCATAGAAGCAATTTAACACGAGATAACGAACAATGCACTTTAATCTAACGCAAGGTGTGACTTTAACATAAGCAAACAAGAGTGAAATAGACCAGGACAACTCCTTAGAGCTCTCGGTTTAGGTAGGAGCAAGGATTGGTTCTAGCACAAAAATATTTCCAACTTACGCCAAGATGCAATAAAGCACACTGAGCGCCCCATCCAGGCCAATCGATCCTTGATTGAGATAAAGGGTTCGCATCGCCCACGGAAGTGAAGCGAACCACGATACCTCGACTTTCGATGACTACCCGGGCCCGAAATCCTCGGCAACCGACGTAAAGGCAAAGTTGGGCCCAAGCTCTCTTTGGGCTTTTTATTTTATCCTAAGTTGGGCCTAGGTCGGGTCAGAGAGGTTGGTGGGCCAAGAGATTGGGCTTAATGGGCTTGGATTGGGCTAAAAAGCCCAACCAGGCTTTACCGTAGAAACCGGGGTGCACCAGAGGCTCGGGCAGACTCCCGAGCCTCCGTCGATCGAGATTTGGGTTGTTGGGTCCGAGGTCATGACACCATATTTTCCCTAGTTTAAAAGGTCAGAAGGAACTTTGCGCAAAAATTGAATATAGGGTGACGAAATGACGATGTTTTTTTATTAGGGTCGAATTTCGACATTATCGGCGAATTTGACCCTTAAGCTGGATGAGATGCTAGAATGATGCCTACTTTCTCGGTGCAAAGTCCGAGATCTTGAAACTGCAAGATGTCTAATTCCTAGATGCTAGGGTGCAAAGAAAGAAATAAGGACGCGCGATGTTGCAATGATTCTGTCTTTAATTAGGAGTCAAATTGCACCATCATCGGCCAACTCGATCCATAGTCCCCATGGAATGCATGAGTAGCCTTTATGCAATGAAACCATAATCTCTTTGGTTTGGGAAAATTATCAAAAAAGTCTTAAACATATTGTAATTATGCCAACTCAGTTATAAATCTTTTTTTTTGTGCCAATTGAATACTAAACCTTTTGCATTTATGTCAATTTAGTCCATCCGGCCAATTTTGATAGGCTGGCGCTGACGTAGATAAATTTTAATAATATTTTAATATTTTTTGAATTATTTTCTTTTCTTTTCTTTCTCTTTTTTTATCCTTCCTTCTTTCTCTGGCCGGTCACTGGATTGAGGCGAGGGCCGGCAAGGTTGACCTCGTTGGCCAGAGGAAAAAGGAAGGAAAAAAAAAGAAAGAGAAAGAAAAGAAAGAAAATAATTCAAAAAATATTAAAATATTATTAATAATTGTCCACGTCACGTCAGTGCCGGCCGTGCCACATTAGCGCCGGCTGGCCAAAATTGAACGGATGGACTGAATTGGTACTATGCAAAAGGTTTAGACCTGAATTAATACAATTACAATATATTTAGAACTCTTTTGATAATTTTTACTCTCTAGTTTCCATATGCAAAAGGCATGCAATAACAAAAGTGGATGCAAGATTGTGCAAAACAACTTATTTTTACTAGGTTTCAAATTTAGTTGATATTGACGAATTTGATCCCTAAACTTTGACGATGCAATTACGTATTGGTAAAATTTAGGTGTCAACATATTAATATCATGGACTACCTATGATTATTTCTTGGGAAAAGTGCCAAAAAAGTCTTATACCTTTTGCATTGGTGCCAATTTAGTCATAAAATTTTTTTGGTGCCAATTCAGTCCTAAACCTTTTGTCTTTGTGCCAATTCAGTCCTAAACCTTTTTATGGTGCCAATTCAGTCCTAAACTTTTTCTATTGGTGTCAATTCAGTCTTAAACCTTTTGTTTTTATGCCAATTCAGTCCTTTCGGACAATTTTGGCCGGATTTTGCTGACGTGGACGCCGACCGGCCGACGGCCAGTCACCGGCGCTGACGTGGATAACTTTAATAATATTTTAGTATTTTTTTGAATTTTTATTTATTTATTTCTTTTCTTTTTTTTTTTCCCTCCCCTCCCTCCTTCCTCTAGCCAGTCGTCGGACTGGCGACCGGCCAGAGGCCTCGCCGACCACTGGCGAGGGAGGCCTTGCACTAGGCGAGGGTGGGGAAGGCGAGCCTCGCCATGGCTGGGCGAGGCCCGGCCTCCAGCGAGGGCTCGAGCCTCGCCAACGGCTGGGCGATATTTCCTCGTGTGTTGGACAACGAAAGAGATATTTCCTCCACTCGCATCGTGATCTTTGGCTGTCGGTGGTCCTTCTTTGCAACTCAATATCTGTGAAATCATATAAGTTCATGATTAATATCGTGGACTTGGTTATTTCTTTGATTTAAATGATGAATTAGGCTATAAAAAGATTTGTATAGGGTTGCTCATATTAGGACATTCTCTTTCCTTTAACGTGAATGATCATATCAACTTCATTTCCAGTGTAATATAGTGCCACGACAAAATGTTTGATACCCACGATTCTATATCATCAAAGCATTTCAATATATCGAGTCATTATTTAGTCCGTTTGTTAATAAAGCAAAATTAATTTCTACATTGTAAGATAAACTGTTTTTTCCTCCGTGAGGTTGTAAGATGCCGCGCCTTTCGTCAGAGAAGCTCTTGGGCATTGGTTTCGAGTTCAAGTACGGCGCCGAGGACGTGTTTGATGGCGCGATTTGGAGCTGCGAAGAAAACGGTTATATCTGAAGGTGCGGGACTCGTTCGAATCACAGCTTTTCTTTTCCAGCAATAATACCTATGTATGGGTACTTAAACATAGTACGAACTTAGGTATCGAGCACGATAAAGCCAATTGTTACTTCGTAGAGACCCTCCTCTCTCGGACCCATGAGCTAGCCGAGGCTAAGTCCGTCGAGGACGGAGCCAGACTCGGTCTGGCCCAATCCACTTCCACCGACAGCGACCGGAGTCAGATCCGCAACCACAGTGCTCATGTTTGGGTGGGTGGGTGGTCGGAGGAGCACAACACCGATGCTTCAATGGCTATTCACAGACGCTACTCCAAGACTTCCGAGGCGACGTTGCTAGGGTTCATCCGGCAATTGTGGACAGAGCCAACATGCACGAATATACAGTTCTAGCGTCTTACAACCACATCTGGGTGAGGAAAAGATCGTGTGAATGATCGACACCTGTCAGACAACAACGATTAGCACAAGTCATTTAGCAAAAGTCCAAGTTAAGAAAGTTCAAAGAAGTTGAAAAGTAGGGTTTAACTATGCAAACTCCTTCGTGTGTTGGACAACGAAAGAGATATTTCCTCCACTCGCATCGTAAGGCATGACGGTGGTCCTTCTTTGCAACTCAATATCTGTG